TTAAAAAGAAATCAAAATATTATTACAGTATTTTTTCCAATCCAAGTAATAAGAGCCTAATGTAGAAAACTTGGAAAGCCAAAAAGAGCGCAAAGGAGGAAACTCGCCCAGTAATCTCACCTCCAAAGACAGATATCACCCTTGCTTGGCCTTTTAACTGGTTCCAGAATATTTCACTTTATTAGAATGCATATTAGCTTCATCTGAGACACTTAATTTTTTTTTTTTTTTTAAATCAATGTTAATAAATTACATTAAACCAGGGAGAGGAAAACAAGTCCAAATACTTGGGGGAATGTAGTAATATATACATTTGGAAGATAAATTTTGTTTTTATTTGTTGCCCTTGTAAAAGAAAAAGGATGTTTAAAAGTGGTAAGTTCTTACATTTAATGACTGCATCAGTGTGGTTAGGTAATGTTTTTGGTAAATCCAGTCAGTTTGCCAGTGATGTTTTTGTGAAGCAAATAATTAAGGTGCTTTTCCAAGTCATGAATGACTAGAGCTACTCCCTCCAAGGGCACCCCCTCTGCCCTGAGTCTGCTACCAGAACTTCCTTCTGTCTCCCTAGGCAAAGTAAACTGAGCCTGACTCATTCTGTCTGCTCATCCCAGACACCCTGTTCCTTCCTGCTTTTGCTTTTACTTCCCCTTTCTCTCCTTTCTCTCTCTCTGGAATTGCCAGTACCCTGAGAACAGGCTTCTACGTGAGGTCCTATAGTTTCCTGTTGTCCCTTGCCAGTGCAGTGCCCACCTCCCTTTGGGGACCAGCACCGATCCCGTGCTTAAGACAGCTGAACCCTGGGATGTATATGGAGAGCATGAGTCTTCAGTGATTCTGGCTTAAGACTCCTGAGAGGAGTGAAACCTGTGACAAGGCGCATCTAGAGACCAAGAAGCAGTGTGCCCTGAGCCTTTAGTGTGTCTTCTAATGGGAGGAGGACCCAGTGTCTTCTGTGCTCAGTGGGAGGCACAGCTGTGCTGTCTGCAGGAGTTGTGAGATAAGTATGAAACTGGGGACTTGGCTGTGGTTGTCTCCTTATGGATTAAACACCTAGCCTTTAACCTAAAACACAGTAAAGTCAGACCAAAAGAAAGGTAGAAGGGTTAGAAGGAGATTGATGCAGAAAAGGATGCTTACATAGAGTTTCAGCTATTTTGTATGTTAATGGACCCCCCCACCCCCATTTTAATGTATTTCAGCTAGCAGTGTGGGTTCAGGACCAGGAATGGGAGGACTGGGCTGGAGAAATTTCCATTCTTATTCCTGGTGCAGTTGCTTTAGTCAGCAGTTACCATGTACTATGTGCTGGGCAGTGTTTTATATACTTTAATTGTATGTACTTAATTTAATTTGAACCCAGGTCACTCTGTCACACCTGAACTTTTATTATCCCTTGCACTAGCTTGTACTGCCTCCCATGTTTCATAAACCTGTTTCCTCATGTGTAAAGTAGGAACAAATACACCTATCATCTCAAGGTTGTTACTGGAATTCAATGAAATACTATATACACAAGCATTTTGTAACCTTATGAGGGATATCGAAATGTTATTTGCGTACTGTGCCCAGTTAAATGGATCTGGTTTGCATCTTAGCTGTGCGACTTTGCAAGCTGATCAGTGAGAGCCAGTGCTTTCCTGAGCCTAAATGTTAAATGTGAACAGCCTTGCAGGGCTGTGAAGGGCAATCAATGAAAACATGTAAAGTTGCCCGGTAAATGTTAGTTCCCCATTTCTTAACGAGTTTTTATAAGATTGTTTTTGTGGGGCTGGGCGTGGTGGCTCATGCCTGTAATCCTGCCACTCTGGGAGGCTGAGGCAGCAGGATTGCCTGAGCCCAGGAGTTTGAGGTTGCTGTGAGCTAGGCTGACGCCATGGCACTCTAGCCCAGGCAACAGAGTGAGACTCTGTCTCAAAGGAAAAAAAAAACCCATTGTTTTTATGGGAAAATAATAAGATAGTTTACAAAATAACCAACAGTGCTGACAGGTCTTATTTGTCAGACCCTCCTTAGAGACTGTTAAAGTATGCGTATAGCAAAACAAGCTATTAGAAGTACAATAGATTGAATGTTTTGGTCTTAAGTCCAAAGAAAGATAGAGCAGCCTCATTTGTGGAGTATTAGGTGTTGCTGTTGATAAGCGGGTGTGGCAAAAATATTGAGCAAATACCGTAATGGCTTGTCTTTACATAGTATATCAGCTGTGGACCCTTCAACTGCTTCTTTTGTTGACTTAGCAAAGTGGTACTGAGCAGGACCTAGATGCAGACACTTCATATGTAAATAAAGAGCTTTAGAGGATTGAGAGTGGGGTCAGTGAGGTAGGAGAGGAGATAATACAGAAAAGAACCCAAGTTTCTCCACTCAGGAATTTCCTACAGAATAAACCTATTAGAAGGTATTCTTGGATGACATTTATTCTGATTATACTGCCCATAATTAGCATCTCAGATAAAAAATTATTTGCAGGATATAGACTGTAGTTGTGTTTCCTGAAAGTTTGGCAGCACTGCTCTTTGGCCCTTGGGGTCTCATGTGACCAGAATAGGGATTTTATTATCAAATGTGAGAAATTATAAAATGTATTAAATTAATTTTAGGAATGACTGCTATAGTTCTCTTCCAAGCTGTATTTAACACAGATTTTATTTTCCCTCTAAATCTAGCCTTCAGGTATTGCCATCAACGGCTGTAACAGTGGCTCAGAAAACTTGGTGGAGTTAGCAACAGAGCTTTGCCTTAGTCACAGAAGAGTCATTGAGAGGTTTTGTTAACCTGGTCACACATATCTTAAAAGGTTTATTTTATGATTTTATCTATTAGAATCTAGAACTACCAAGTGCCTCCAACTTAGTATTAAGACAAAAAATAATTATCTTTTTGTTAGATTGCACAGGTAAATGATGATAAGCCTTTTTTAGGGAGGCAGGGGACAGTATGTACTTGCTTTTGTACACTTGCTTGGCACACTGCAGCCGTGGAGGCAATTGAAAAATAGAGTTTATAGGAATGAACACATCTGTGTTCTTGTCCCACCTCACTATATTGCTCTGCTTAATAATGTTGGGTCTTGGAAGTATGGGACTATACCCAAGGATCACATTGACCCTTTTCCATTTTCTTATTCTGTGATTTGGATAATTGTAGGTTTCCTCACAGTACTTTGTTCTCTCTTTTTTTTTTTTTTGGATTCTATAGTAGCAGGTGTATACAGAGCTCCTTTAAGAGACAGGCTTTTTGTATGTGTATATTTTTCTTTTCTTCCTGTCTTGATTTTTTCAGATTATTTTATATTCTGGAGACAAAATTTATGATGACTACTATCAAGATCTGAAAGGACGAGTACATTTTACGAGTAATGATCTCAAGTCTGGTGATGCATCGATAAATGTAACTAATTTACAGTTGTCAGATATTGGCACATATCAGTGCAAAGTGAAAAAAGCTCCTGGTGTTGCAAATAAGAAGCTTCAGCTGACAGTTCTTGGTGAGTTATTTTTATTTGTATAAATGAGTTACTTAGTAACAGGGTGAGTGGTCATAGTACGGTAATAGCTGCATTTATGTAAGACAAAGCCTAGCTTTTTAAAGTAATAATTTTAAACATTTGAAGTATTTCCGAAAGCATACGACATAAAACTAGCATATTTTAAAATTTTGTATTGAATATTTTGTAAATAAAGGTACATTTAGCTACAATTTCCCATTTTCTCTACGTATGGTGACTTTTGGGACACCCTGTAAGCAGAAAAGTATCGTGGTATGGAGAAAGAACCCTAACCCAGGAGTTAGGAGATCTGCGTTTATTGCCTTGTCCTAGCTTTCTTTGTCTACACTGAGTAAACATGCGGTAGCTTTTCTTTTTTATAAATGTGTAAGCAGGTGAAAGTATAACAACTGGTCTGAACTCTTATTCTAAGCCCAGGGATACTTGAGATTATAACCCTGACTATACTTTCTTTGAACACTGCTTTCTAGGAAGTAATGAGTTAACATATATGTAGAACATTGACTGGTTCATGATAAACCAAACAGATTATACTTGGTTATCAAAATTATTTATTGTGAAGCGCCTGTTTAATGGTGCAGATACACTGGAATTTATGTGATTAGCATGTATTTCCAGAAGAGTTGTGAACAAGCATGTTATTTTATGTTATTTTCTGTGTGTATGTTTGTGCGTGTGTGTGTATGTGTGTGTGTGTGTGTGTGTGTGTGTGTGTTGCTGGATCTAGTAGGACCAGGTTTGGGTTCAAATTTGCAGGTCCCAGCTGAGATCATTACAGCATGAGGCAGCACATGTCCCAAAAGGAACCCAGGTTAGGCAGCAGTCATGGCACATAATGTGGCTAAGCACAGTCATGGCAGCAGCCATGACTGCCCAGCAGCAGGAGTGGCCCTTTGACGTTAAACCTCCAATCTCAATATCTAATTCTTCAGATTGAATAAGTAGGAAGCACTGACCCAGTTTACCCTTTTGTTACCGTGGCGGGGGATTGCTACAGTCAAGTGAGCCATGAATCAAACAAGGGAGGGAGAGAGGGGATAAATTTGGGATTGGAAGAGAAAGAGGGGAGTGACTGCCGAATGGCAGTAGGGATGACTTACACACTGATCCGCGCGAGGCTGTGTCAGAGCCAGAGAGGAATTTCTTGTAGCTTTTTCTTCCATTTTGTTAGATGAATCATGACTGGTGCTGGGAAAAACCACCAGAATTGTTTTCTCTTAAAAGTGAGAATTGGATGGAAGCTCATCTGTTAGCTTTGCCTGAAAATTTGGCCTGGATAATCTGGGAGAAAGATAAGATGAAGTGCCCTCTCGTGACCTAACTAAGTGGTAGTTATTGGAGCTCTCATTTGGCTCTACCTTATATTTTGATTTTTTTATGGGAAATCTGAAGGACTCACCACCGTGGCATTCAAAGGTAACGATAGTTCATTCATGGAGCCCTGTGCACTCTGTGGCCATGAACCCAGATGACTGTTGGTTGTCTGGATGTGAGGGGCAGCGTGTTGGTATAGCTTGCCCCATTGCCAGGGGCTCCCTGCTCTCTCAGATACACCAAAAGTACGTGTGAATGCAGCTCAGTAAAGAAACCGAAGTGGGTAATGATAACAAAAGGAATTGATAAAAGGTTATATTGTGACCACATATCATCAGTGCCTTCCCCTGGAGCTCTCAAAGGCCCTATTCCTGAGTCCTGTTGGTATAAAGAGACCGAGTTGTTTTGAAGAGTAGAGCATACACAGTTAACAGTTCCTGGATGTATATGGTGGACTCAAACTGCACCATGCTGCCGGAACACAGTAGCAACTGCAAGTATGGTAGCTCAGTCAACTCTGGTCCTGAGGGATATGCAAACCATTGTACCAGGCATGGCTCCCCCCAACCCTTTTGTTTTGAAATACTTTTATATAGAAAAGTTGCAAAAATACTAGGCAGTTTCTGAGAGTATAACCATCGTCTAATTTCCCCTAATGTTGACATCTTACAAAATCGTGTTACAATTATCAAAACCAAGAAATTTACATTGGTACAATACTATAAATTACTGACCTAATTTGAATTTCATGGTTCTCCACTAATGTCCTTTTTGTACTAGGATCGCATCTAGAATCCACATTGCATTTATGTCTCCTTAATCTCTCCAGTCATGTCAAGGGGCACATGATGTCATGTCTTACTGTTAATCATGATCACTTGGCTTAAGTTTTATCAGATGGGTTTCTCCACTGTGAAGTTAGGATTTTTCCCCTGTAACTAAAAAGTGTCTTGGGAAAGCTACTTTGAGAGTATGCAACTATCCTGTTTCTCCTCTAACTTCTGCCTATTGATTTTAGCCTCTATTCATGGATTTTGCCTGGAGTAAGGGGTTTTTTTTGAACCAAGCAGAAAGCATTTCTGGAAGGATGACATCATGATAAAAGTATACCCTGTCCTCATATAGGGATTTAGAGTGTATTTCCTATAGACTGAGGTAGGCCAGCTAGCATGGAAGGATGATGAAGCAATTCATGTGTGGAACATGGCATTACTAAATTGGCGGGATACCATGGCCAAGTACAACTTGATGGTCACATGCCCTTATCTGAGAAGGACTATTCGCTATGCTAATGATCATGGAGGCAAGAGTTCAGAGGACAATGGCCAGGTGTTCATTCAGAAAGCCCAGACCAAAGAAACGTTTAGAGGACAGGACTTTATCTGTGTTTCCTTTGTGGTTTTCTTCCATTCCAGCAAGAGTGCCATGGGTTAAGAGTTAATCTTTCTCATGTTGTAATGGTTAGGGATTGACATGTAAAAGACTTGTAGTTTTTCCTCCCAGTGGAAAGTAGGTGGGCTGCTCCAAAGTGACACTCAAAAAACAATATTGGTAGAATCTTGTTCTGTTGTGGATAGGGTATGTTGAGATCTCAGACTTAGCTGAACCCTGAATTTCCTAAGCAGCAGCTTTAAATAACTGCCTGTTATTAGATATGTTCAGTATATGGGAGAGGGACATTTTTAGTAGAAAGGATGAAGATTGTAGTTAGGGGTAGGATACTGTTTTGCCAATAGATGTTTGATGTACAAAGCATTGATTTAATATCTTATTTACTTTGCTACTTTATTCTAATAAAGGATTTATTGGTAATTTGAAGAAATGAAGGAGAATAGGGCTTATTTCATTGAAGACTCACAGGATGAAATAATTTGCAAAACTTATTTAGAAGTCTAATAGATGTAGTCTCCAGAGCAACGGATCAGTCTGAAAAAGACACAGATTTACTTAGGAAAATCAACAATGCAATGAAATGTATCTGTTGCTCTTCATTAAAAATTACAAGTAGTAACACATAAAGGGGAGAAATGTAAAGCAATTAAATTTGCTAAGGAGTATTAAGAAGGAGTGAGATCATGATTGACAACCTAGTTGAAGACATCCTACTGGCTGTGACAAATCCTGTTGGCCAGCTGTGGGAAAACAGTTCGGCATTTTCTTATAGAGTTAAACATACACTTACCATATGACTCAGCAATTACCAAGAAAAAGGAAAACATACGCCAGTGTTTACATAAGCATTCAAGCGGTGTTGTTCACAATAGTTCAAAACTGTAAAACCCATTCACCTTTATTCATAGTAGTGAAAGAATGAAAACCCATTTCAAAGGATGAAAATAGCTTAAACTAAAAAAAAAAAAAGGAATCCTGCCATTTATCAGCCTGGGAGGATAGATGGAGATAAAGCCAACTACAGAGTTTATAGAAAACATTGTTTCTCCCAACGTTGCAAAGCAGCAGTAAAATACAGACTATTGTTGTCTTCCTAATGTCGCCCCCAGCCCCACTTGGCACCACCTATCCTTTACTGGGATACTCAATCACTAAACGGCCCTACCCCCTGACAGCACCCACTCCTTGTTTAATCCCCGCTTCTCCTAATCTCTCCTCAGAAACATGTGATTGAGAGCTGATCGCCACTTTCCTTGGAGTCTCCTCAGAATCCTTCAGAATCCCTCTTGTCCAGTGGCTCCACGGTTCCTCATAATGCCTTCCTCACTGGTCACTCTGGTTTTGACAGACAACACACTTGCTCCTCGTCAGTTTGGCTTTAACAGTAGCCCCAAAACTGGAAACAGCGTTCATCGATAGGTGACTGAATAAGCAAACTTGTGTCATAGTCATTCGCTGGAATACTAAAATGACCACTGATGCATACAACAACATGGATCAATCTCAGAACCATTATGCTGATTAAAAGAAACGAGATAAAGTGCATACTATATGATTCTATTCACATGATTCTAGAAGAAGCAGAACTAATCTATACTGGTAGAAATCTGATCCGCGGCTGCCTGGGGCCAGGTTTTGAAGTGGCATCTGCTGGGACCAGCACAAGGGAACTTTCTTGGGAGAGGGTTGGAGCGGTGCTTAATGGATGTGTAGACACATTTGTTAAAAGTGATCAACCCACATGATTAACGGGTTAATTTGATTGTGTGACTGTTATGCCCTAATAAAAGTTTAGCAGAGGAGTATGCAATGCCAAGGTATTAATCCAGGGTTGGGGTGATTTGCAGGTAATGGGGTTAGCAGCTGCTCTAAACAGTTAACCAGGGAGACCTGGAATATAGCCTCAGATTTACTTTTTTAATAACACTTCTGTCTGGATGGATTGAGTTAAAGGAAATGCGGAATGTTAATTGATCCTTGCTGCACTAAAGGAATTATTCCTGTTATCAGCATTACTGATGATAAATCCCGATTGTCAGGGTCATGGCACCTAAGGGATATGACTTGGTACATACTCCCAGAGGGCTACATGTCAAGTATGAAGAAGAATAGGTAAGGAATGGAGGGGGAGCTTTCTCCAGTCTCACGTAGACCAGCCCATAGCGTCCTTGCTTTCCTCAGGTGTGCCCCATGGAATGTAGGGGCGCTGACCTGCGCCTACATTATTGCCAAACCTCTTAATGCAGTGGTTGTTTTGCCTGAGCTCGTTCTTTCCTGTTTTGTGTTGATAAAGCCGAGTAACTGATGTTGACAACTGATTGTGGTCTTTCATTCTTTTGTCAATTCTGAACCCAGGACCAACCGATAATGAGTCAGTGGTTGTGAGTATCATGCTGTGTGTGTAGTCATTATAAAAGTGATTCCCTTATCTTATATAAAGTTGTAATTTTGTTTTTCAGTTAAGCCTTCAGGTACAAGATGTTACATTGATGGATCAGAAGAAATTGGAAATGACTTTAAACTAAAATGTGAACCAAAAGAAGGTTCACTTCCATTACGATATGAATGGCAAAAATTGTCTGACTCACAGAAATTGCCCACCTCATGGTTAACAGGTACTGCTGACGATACTATTTGTACCATGTGCCATTGATTTGGATTTAAATCTAGTAAGGTTTGTGTGTGTATGCTTATATATGTTAAAGTCACAAATGCCTTCCCTTTTTTATATAGAACAGTCAGGATTTTCTATGGCAATTATTCAGTGTTTTATAATGTCAACTTAGTGTCATATTATAAATTAAGAGATGTTTCTATCTTTTTAGGGTATTGTAATTAGTTACTTTGGTAGATTTATTTTAATTGATGAGAAATGTTCATGATCATAAGTTAGATAGTGGCTAAAATGTAATAAGAATGGGGTTTTGAGTATTTTGCCTAGATTCATGTTGAAGATACGATAATTAATCCATGGTGTGTCTGTAAATAAATAAATAAATAAGCCTGTGTGACACTAACTAGAAAGTTACAAATTGGCTAAATCTGATCACTCACCTGTTTGTTATAATTGACCTGTAAATTCAGATTGATTACCAGCTTCCACCCATCTACCATTCACTGCCCCCTGGTCTTAAGTTGGTTTTCTCTCCTTTCCTTTTTTTTTTCTCCCAAAACTGAGAAGCCAAACTGGATGACCCCTTCTTCTGACTTTCTTTTGTATGTTTCCATCTGTGGCAATAAAATAGGCTTTAAGTTTTCTTGCTGCGTGAAGGAGCCTTTGTGGAATAGGATAGTTTTTTATAATCAGATGTGGTCCAAAATGGGTTTGCAACAGCTAACCAACACCCCTGCTTCAGTGGAGGCTCTGTGGTGGATGGGGTCATGGTTGCTTTTGCCTTGATGCAAATGATTATTTGAATTCTGGAGATGCACATGTGGCTGGCAGTTTGTTCACAGCCAGCTTTGGTCCTTTAATTGGATTATCAAACTTGGTACAGTTTGCCTTTACTAATAACTCAGAGCAATGCATACTGTAAAAATAAGGTTTCTTTTTTTCCCCTTCCCATAGAAATGACTTCATCTGTTATATCTGTAAAAAATGCCTCTTCTGAGTACTCTGGGACATACAGCTGTACAGTCAAAAACAGAGTGGGCTCTGATCAGTGCCTGCTGCGCCTAGATGTTGTTCCTCGTAAGTGTCTTCTTTCTGTGTTGGCCGTTTTGTTTGTTATCTTTATGCCACCCCCTTTAATCCAGTCAGCAAGTGTGTATCGAGAGCAAAAGGGTACTAACTTTGATCAGAACATTCTCTGGAGTGGTTATTAGCTTTTCTAGAAAAATACATTTTATTAAAAAACCTTCATCGTTACAATGATATATTAAGAAGGTAAGAGTTGCCAAATCAACTCATGTACCATATTTAGCCATTATGAGTGTGAGTAGCTTAGAACATTCCTATATGTTAACCAAGATAGCTTTGAATATTAAAGTCTTTTAGACAAGTTTTATCATTTTTATGCTTGAAATAGATTATACAGTTTAGCAGGAAGTTCTTTTTAATGTATTTTCCCCACGGGATCAAAAAGGCTAAATAATATGTCTCTTAAAGTTAATGTGTACAGTGAAATCAATCAGTCTATCAATATGTGTCCTACCTTCATTATCAATAGATATAGATTATTTTTTTTGCTATTAATTCTTATTAACATCTTATTCTAGCTTCAAATAGAGCCGGGACAATTGCAGGAGCTATTATAGGAACTTTGCTTGCTCTAGTGCTCATTGGTCTTATCCTCTTTTGCTGTCATAAAAAGCGAAGAGAAGAAAAATATGAAAAGGAAGTTCATCATGATATCAGGTAATTAAATGAGATAGGAGTTGACTGATGTAATAACAAGTCTGTTACTGTCTCTAAAGCATTAGTTCTCTCATTAACCACCCCAAGCATCTGCCCTGTGAGCATTGGATAAAAGCTTTGGCCTCTCTCCTCAACACATTTGAAAGCATTTACCTTTAATTTCAAGTGCACAAAATCAGCCACCCTTCCTTGTCCTCCCCCCAGCCCCCGCAAACTTTCTTCTACTCCATTTAAAGAAATATTGCAAAATTATTATCCTGAGACTGTCTGCCTGCTCACAATAAAATAGGGATAAAGTTTTCAAAAATTAGGGCAGATAATGAGGTTTGAAAAAAAGCTGATTGTATCAAGTGACGTAATTTGTAGAACTACTGATAGTGTAATTTTATTTTTCTGAAATATTCTAAATCAGGAGATCTTAACTAGAAGTGCACATTGGATAACGGAACTTTAAAAAACAGTAACACATG